GTGAGAGTTTTTTATGCACACAATTTAGAAGTAGAATTTATCATCTGGTACGATCTGCAGTAGTTGATCATGTAATCGCATATTTCTAATCGAACGTATATACTTCCTTTGTGTAAAGCGTTGTAATATATACATTTCAGTGGAGAGGGCGGACGTGTGTGTGAACAATTGGCCGTGAGCCTTCAATTAATCTGTGCGATGGGGAGAGTTGAGAGTTTTCAAACTCTCGGAGGATAATTATTGTCACGAGATGTTGTGATGTTTTTCAAGCACGATTTCCACGCTGACGATATTCAATGATTTATCGTGAATTTATCATTTATGGATCCAATTTTTTGAGGGGAGATTTCACTGGAATTCGAACATCTCGTGATTTAAAAAAACGTGCTGAAATGATTTTTAATTTGGATTTTCAACTTAGGACAGTCATAATGCAGTCGCAGGGTCTTAAAGTGCAGTCGGGTCTCCCCTCGACCTAGAATTCTCCAATATCGCAATTCGAAGTAAATAATGAAACTGTAAAGATAAATCAGTCAGGATAGGGTAGACATTTCTGCATGTCCGTAAATAAGAGGATCAGTGGATCATCTACATTCTATTCCTACAGGTGATAAATATTTTTTATTTTTTTATGAGAATTCTATACGACTTTATTACTGTGAGTTTCAAAATTTTAATCGCGATGACACTTTGTTCTGAGTTTATCATTGATATTTTATATCGAATTTTCGATGTGATTGAAAGGTTTTGGTATGCAGACACTAATATCACCTATGTCGAAATTTATTATTGAGAAATATGATATTCTGTAGTGTTTCGTCTTAAATATATTTCTCATCACCTTACAATGATAGAACTAATCGTTTTATTTTTTAATGCCATATTGATTAGTCGATTCGATTCACCTTAGTCAATACTGCAGCAAGAATTTTCGGTGAATTTGACGTTTAGAGTCATAATGAGGTATTTTTTTTCTAGATTCATAGGTATTTTTTGGTAAGCACACATCACCGGTATCTGTTTTCTCATTGGGACTGTGTGTTTATTCAAATATTGACGAAATCTCTTACGTTCCATTGAAGTTTATATTTTCGTCTTCTATAATTTTTAAAATTATAGGTCATTTATATTCCTTATTATTTTACGATCGATCATTCATTGAAAAATTGAGGAAAGACAAAGTTTGATTTATCTATACGAGACTTTGTATTTTTCTGTAAAATAAAAAATGTAACGAGAGAAATATACATCTTCTGTATTCTTAATCATTTGAACATTTTCATTCGGGATTCAAGGATTGATGTTAAGCAGTGGAAATCATCGGGCTTGGATATTAACCCGGGACTCACTGCGAGGAAGTGGCGATGGTGCGAGTGCCATAGAAGACCCTAAATGACGATGCGGAGTGAATTTTTTCAACTGTTTAATTTCAAATGTCAGCCTTGAGTGATTAAAACAACTCTTCGTTCCCTTCCTTTCTAAAAAAGCAGGAGTGCAATCGTCTTGTGTCGAGAATTGAATACCATTGTATGAAACATGAATAAACGAATCATAATTGTCCAAATCAGTTAGATCAGAGGAAAATAGAATAATTCAACTTTCTTAATATTGCGTTTACTGCGGTTTTCTTCGAAGAAAGTCGATTAGAATTAATAGCTAGAATTATGAGATTGTCTCACATTTTTTACGTTAAGCATAGGAGAATCTGAATGCAATATAGTGAAAATGGGGATCGATTTTTTCACTTTGAACAAATAATATTAATATCCAAATACAAAATTTCTGATATGAATAACAAGAAGCTGTCACTCAATATTCCAAATGAAGTTGTAATTCTTAATTTGGTGCTGATAACACGAGATGACAATATTCTAAGCACGGAATTATATTGATGAGATGAACAACAGATTAATCGAATTACCGTGTGAACTAAAAATTGATAACAGTGTGGGCACGCACTTTTACCAGAGTATCAACAAACATTGAATTCCAGAAATTCACACTCTAAAGTGTGTTCTAGGGGGAATTGAATTGTATTTATGATTAAAATCATACTCAGTGAGCGTAGGAATTAAAACATGAGCAAATCATTTATTGTATGATGCTCATACGATTCTCATCGGTTGAACTGCTTTTTGCAATGAGAATGATTATAAACAATTTATTGAAAAAAGGGAACAACCCTTTTTTACAGTGATTGAAAAAAAAGAACAACGCAATTCTAAATTGATTTTGATTTTGATTTATTGATGTGTCGTATGACAGGATTGATCAAAAGCTCCATGAATAATGCACCTGAAAAATTTACATACCCATGGAATTCGTTCAGTTCAATTACACAGACAGATGTTAACGAGGGCCATCAAAGAGCCAGAATCTGCAATCAACGATGTATGCACCATTACAAAAAAATGAGGAACCATCCACATGAGTAATCAAATAATGAATGAAACGTGTAGAACCTGCATGTAGTATCGTCATTATGTATCAGCTTATATATTTGTTCTTCATGTTTACATAGTCTCTGCGTGAAACAAAGTTCATCGAGAACAATTCCGACACACCACTTTCATACACTGTCTTCATAATTCTTTGCTTCTGGATTGATCTGAGGATGTCATGGGGATCTCACTGAAGGAATTTCCAAAATGTTCAACGAAAGATTTCGTTTCTGCTTTCATCAACAGCATCAAATACTTAGTGACCCGTCTATTGTCCTCTATCAGTAAAGAAGAACGATTTTTTCAACAATCCTCGGAATACCCATGACATCCCCAACACTGGCAGATGAGCGATAAAATTCCGTCAATTGGTACAAGAAAAAAAAACCAGAATTTGATTAAAATGAATGTAAAACTTTTTATCTCCAAAGTTAGGAAACACCTATTACATTAAGTCTTCGTTAAATTAATTTATATCTGTCATTAAATCTATATAATTTTCATACAAATAGTTTTTCGAATAGAAATAAATTACTTCACACAATTCTCAACATGGTTCTCTTCACATTATTATTTTCTCCATCCATTGCCACGAATTCATTTTAATATTTAGTTTTATAAATTATTGTTTTCGTACGATTGTTTGCGTTTTCATCTCTTCATACAATTTTTTTTATTAAAAAAAAATAGTACAAAAATTATTCTAAACGAATAATTGTCACAATTTTTTATACAAATATGCGAAAAACCCTGTCACCTGTCATTTTCAAAGACATTTCACTCGTTCGCATTACGAGCACTGATTTATGAAGAACCAAAGGGAAATTCTATTAATTCTGGGGATAATTAACTGTTAATATCCTTTGAATACATACATACTATATGTATACATATGGACAAATAATCAACTTAATCATATTAGTTATTCAATTAAATATTTCACTAGATTTGTATATCATCTCTATTATTTTTGTTATTCTTCATTATTTCAAATGTTACTTTTCACCGCACAATTTGAGAACCAACACCTATAAAATTCATGTCATGCGGATGCCTCGAGACCACAGCAGCCCTCGAATTTTTCATTAATTTTTGTTCATTAATTTGATTTTATCACAGGAGCCTGTTATTTTGTATTGTTTATTCTTCATTAATTAAATTTTTATTCACCCAACATTTTCATTCTTCACAGAACACGTAATGCAGATTTTTTTTTTCAAACGTGTCTCATCAGTTCATGGACATTCGATGCAATTGCAACTCCATAATTTGACTGGAATGAGTTGAAAAACTGATTTCTTTGGTTTCAAATCGTGTGGAGGACGAAATCCCAGAAATTTCCAGATACTGAATTGAATTCATGATTTTGACACTTAAAGAAAACTGATCGCCAAGTGAAATTCACTGTCTTATCCCATTATTTTTTCAGTTTTGAAACAGAAGAAAAATTCTAGAGCATTGGAAAGTCATAGATGTCCCAACGAGACACATTTCCCCCAAAAAAATCTGCCCCACGTGAAATCCCTCCTCACATTATTCCCCTAGACTTCCTTAAGACACCGATAAACTTACCATACGACTCGAGAGAATAACGGAAACCCTCGCGATTCCCTGGCGCATTGGAAATCCTGGCAATCGTGATATTTCCATTATCCTCCCCTTGAACTATTTACACTTTACAATACAGTAGAAAGATAAAAAAGAATGGAGAATAAAGAGGTGATGGAGCCCATCAACATCGAACGATGACTCTCCCCTCGAGCCGTGAGATCCCAAAGACCTTCTGCAACCGAGGGAGAGGATTGAGGAACAACAGCGAAGACATGATCCAAACGAAAAAAAGCAATCCTAATAAATATTCAGTCCTGTAACTCATTTTCTCGTATACTCAGTTCATCTTTCACGTATTCCCCAGAGCTGGGAGTTATTCCGTGGGACTGGAACACAATTTTGAGGTGTTCATGATGAGGAGTTACTATTTGAAATAATTATTTGGTTTTTCTTTCTGTTAGAATGAATAATTTAATTGTATTTATTGTTTCATTTAGCTTTTTCATTATTTTAATGATTTTTAAAGGAAACAGATTTGTGTTATGTTGCATTTTCATTGAAATAGTTGAGACAATCACTTGTGTTTAATTTCAAATAACGAAAGGGAAATTTTAATCGAGTATTAGACTATTTCATGAAAACCAAATGGAAATACGATTTAAAATAGTGATTTAAAATTGATTGTTTGAGAGAAAATAAAAATGAAATGGACTTCATTCTCTCACAATAAAAAAATAGTTCATGACGACCTCAATCACATGTATGACGTGTGAATAAAAAAAATAAAAATCTCAAATTTCTTCATTCAATTAAAATTAAAAAATTCAATGACGCGAGGAAATTTATTGACTATTTCGAGTAGTTACTCCATGTTTCATTGTGTCAGAACGGAAATTAAATAGTATTCTCTATTTTATTCCACTATTTCACAATTTCAATGAATTTTAAACCATAAAGACGTGTTTTTCCATTTTATATTCATTGAAATAATTGAAAAAATCTCGTGTATCTAATTTAAAATAATAAAATAGAACAGTTTTACGAAATTTCAATCAAATGTTCAACAATTTCCTCGAATCCAAATGGAAATACGATTCAAAATAGTGATTTAAAATTGATTATTCGACCTAAAACAGAAATGAAATGAATTTCATTCTCATTCAGAATAAAAAAAAATTCGAATTTTTTCATTAAATTAAAACGAAAAAATTCTCTGTCAATTTGGAATAAAACATCCCCAGCTCTGGGCTCCCCCAATAATTCCCCCGAGGCATTAAAAACACCCCGACAACCCAAAAATCTCAAGACTGAGTAAGTTACACTTCCCCACATTAATCCCCCACAATCGTTAAAACATAATGTTCAAGACAATAAAATTGAAAAAAATGGCACATCGGTCATCGTCCCATCTTCTTCATAATCTGAGATCATCGGTGAACATCGTCGTTATTCACTGAATAGTCCTGTTCCCGAGACACTATCCCCACGAGAATTAAACACGAGTCCTCGATTTCCCCCGTGGTTTTTCCGAAAAAACAAATTTTATGTACAAAAGTCACTCGCTCGAGGATTTTTTTATGATCACAGCCACTCGGTGAGACATCCACCGAACCACATAACAGCTATTGGGAATAGGTAAGACGTGAGGGCACGGGACAGGGGTATGTGCTGTCTCGTCGCCCCATTCTCAACAGCATTTGTTGTTTTGTTGTTTGTTGGTGTGATGATGTTCGTATTTGTGTCGATTATCGTGGGAATCTTCGGTGTTATGTCGACGTGGGGGGGTATCTCTGGTGGCACCAGGGGCTGGATGACCTCTGGGGTCTCGGGCACCGCTGGGGACGGCTCGTAGCCCGACGACTCCTCGCGGAAGCCGTCCTCGTCGTCGGTTATTGGGTCATCCTCGTCTTGACCGTCGCCGGAGCCACTTCCAGAGCCGTAGGACGTCTCCTCTGTGAATTAAAATTTTCAAGGGTTCATTTGTTGAATTCAAGAATTATAGAAATGAATTCAATTCTATGAAGTTAATTTTGTAAGGGTTACAAACAAAAGGTTAAAAGGGTTTTAAATTACAAACCTGTATCCGCCCAATCAACATCCTGTCCATTGAACGCCGATCTCAGTCTACTCGTAATCGTGGTAAGTGCAAACACTTGGTCCCTAACTATTGAAGGCCTGGGGCCACTGCCCCTCACCTCTGGATTCAAAGTTTGAATCTCCCCGTCCGATGATACTGGGTAGAGGTACCTGAAAATAGTTTTCAGGGTAATTAAACATTGTTCCAGTAGTTTGGAATTGGCAATCATGGGGTAATAACTTAACAGATGAAAGCACTGTTTAATCGAATCATCAAAATCCTTGCAGTAGAAATTGCGAAATATCTCAAGCCTCAATAACATGATCTATCAAGTGGATTTTTCACGCTTCACTAATCACTTGATAATCTCCATAACGAGTGGTTTTAGGGGAAAATGTTGAGGAAACTTTCGGGTGAGAATTTTATCCAGAAATGGAAGTGTTTTAGAAAATTTTCATCAATTTTTTTACTATTTCAGGAAAACTGAATAGAAATATGATTTTAAATAGTTGTTTGGCACATAATTTTTTCATTTGATTGTATTCAATGAAATTTTTTTCAATCAATTGTGTTGTATTCTTTATTTAGTTTAATATTTGATGAAATAATATATATTTATACCATCCATTTATTCGATGAAAGTGAAGTCGAAGTGGGTCATTTTAATGATAATTGAATCAACTTTAACATTTCTTTTTTTTTAATTCAAAGAATCAAAAACATAATATATGGACTAAATTTTAATTACTGTCGATAGATAGGGCTCGACAACGTCCTAAGGACACTTTCCCTAAAATCCATTTGTGAAAAACCATTGATTTGTCAAAATCCATTTGTGTTTTCATAATTAAAAAAAAAATCAATTTATATTTTTAAAAAACTGATGATACTGAAGATATTTACGATAAATTCAACTCACTTGTCCACATGAGTGCCATTCCAGCACTCGTTGGTATTACTAGGAGGCACAACGAGTCCATCATTGCAGAGCTGATAAGGCAGATAAATCCAGAATTGTCGTGAATCTCTGACCCTCTGTCGAATTTCCTTAACAAGTTTATCGAGCATCGCAGCTGTTGAGGATCTGCCGTCCTCGTCGACAACCTCCTCATCGAAATTCGATGACTCCAGATCGGCGTCGTGTCGGCTCTCCCGCCTCCTCCGCCGTTTTCTCCCCAAAACTGGTCGCCCACACCCACTGAAGACACGCTGCGACACGTCCTGACTGTTCTCTTGGAAATTCATTATTGCTTCGGAGATCTTCAGGTTTATCGGTCGCACTAGCATCTCTATGTTAAATGGACCCAGTAGCCTCTCGGCCACTTTACTAACCGCTTCTGTAATTGAGGGAGCAGAAAAATTTAGTTCTTGGAAATTCAGGAATTATTTCATGCATTTAGAGTAAACAAGTGGGAAATTTATAATAAATTAGCAATATGCTTCCGAATGGTCGTTTTGCACATCATTTTCTTCTATGGTACATAATTCATTGTTTATTTTATCATATTAAATTGAATGAGATTTATTTTTAAACAATTGTGTCAGATTTTCAACTTAGTTGAATGGTATCATTATCATTATCTCGAGATATCCCCGGAATTCCGATTTTCAAAAAATACAAAAATTTTGAAAATTTTCATATAAATCAAAACAACGATTATTGCTATCGCCTTCATCTTCGTGCTCGGTCAAAAGGGCATCCAAACAAATTTTTTAAGCCTTCATACAATGAATTCAGAACATTTTTTTAGTTATCGTGGGACAACCCATTTTTGGAAAAATTGAAAAATAAAACAAAATTAAATTAATTGAATTTTAATTCATGTCGATAGATAGGGCTTAACAATACCTATTATAATTTAATCAGAAACTTAAATTTTAACGATTACAAAGCTTCCATTCGCAAGCAAAAATATTCCCAATGGAATTCCTTTCACAAAAAAATTCAAAACACTATTCAATTATCTAAAAACACCAATCAGTTACGAATATTTAAGGGAGTAATTCAACCCACTCTCCATATAATTGAGGTCAACTCAAAGCAACACAAAAATTTCGCGAATTGAGAATGACATCCACGAAACTAATTCCAAGTAGTGACTCACAGCATAATTTCCATAATTCAGAGAATCTCGTTAATGTCCCTTGCGTCTACTCCGAATCCATCATAAAAAATTCTGGAGACATTTTCCCAAAAAATCAATTCGTCAAAAAGAAATCATTTTTTTTTCATCTACTAAATTTAATTGTTTATTCACCTTTTCAAATTTCAATTTCAAATGATTTATGAAATTTTCATTATTTATTTGACCATTTCATAAAAACTTGATGGAAATCCAATTTCAAATTGTTATTTTAATTCGATTATTTGACAATAAAAATCTCATAAAATTCAGCGAATCTCGTTAATATCCGACTCGTCTAGCCCAATTCATCAATTAAAATAAAAAAAATAATAATGAATTACCCGCATGTCTAGCCAATACAAAACCCCCATGAAACCTCGGCCCGATGATTCCCGACGACTGCACAAGAACCATAAAACTGAATTCACAATGAACTTACCGACAAAATGATTCCATTCAGCGTCGAGTGCAGCATGTTGAGCAAGACATCCCTTCATGACGTTGGCACACATGTCACCGCATGCTAGAACATTACCGGGTATGCCGCTGCACGATGGACAGGCTGTCATTCTGGTTAGAGCGGCTGCACACTCCGGTGATGCCTTGAGCTGTTTTTTTTTCATTCCCCATTGGATTGAAGAAGGAAATAATTCATTAAAAAATGTCTCAAGCACTCGAGGATTGAATAAACGGAGGAGTTTAATGCGCGTTGAATATATTTTCGTCCGGGATATTTGACTATTTTAATGTTGTGGGATTGAAGATAATGGAGGGAGTCTCATCGCTGGCTCTACTCGGATTAAAATTCAAAACGTTAATTTTCAATTGCAATTGCATTGGCCAATGCTATGCAATCAATCATGACTCAATGCAGCGGCCTCCAGAAAATTTGCGCAAACTACTTTTCCATACATTACTATTTTGTTCTCCAAGAAATTTGTGACGAATGAATCGATGTAGGCGAAGATTGTAGCTAGATACATGCCCGCGTGTAAAAGATAATGCCGATTGCAGAGAATTCCAGTAAATAAAATCGTGTGCCATATACTAGTGATAACAGTTACTCGTTTCAATTTCATTCATCAGATCAGAAAAAAGCAGATTTTTTGAAAATTAAATTAGCGTCATCACTGGATCGACTCAGATTAATATTCAAAACGTAAATTTCCACTTGCAAATTATAATACAGGTGCTGTATTCGTACATTAAAATAGAGACTACAATTGTCTATTGATTCTTCATTCACTCGATATTTTAGAATATCTTTTTTTTACAAGAATTTTAAAATGAATGCTGACGCAATTGATAATCGAGGTTTATTGAACATTTTTTTGAGTGAAATTTAACTGAGGGATTCACTCCATAAATTTGTGAATAAAATTCATGCATCATTCACTCGAAATTAAGAGGATAAAACCAAGTCGATTGATTAATTCTCTCGCAGCCCCAACGAAATTTCTTCATTTATCATCAAATCACATTTTTTCTAATGAACACTTTGGATTTTTATTCGCGTGACTCAATTTTAATTTAAGCTGCATGTGCAAATCCATCATTTGCCACAAGAAATGTCAATGCGACGTGATTAAAGGAACGCGAATAATCTTCCTTACGAGAGTGTAAAGTATTTTTAAAAAATCGAGGGACCAAGCAGCACTAGATGGAGGGAAATTAAATATCGAAATTCGCAGTCTCCAAAATAATAATGTTAGCAGAATAATTATTATAAAAACTTACGCAATCTCCTTCGCAGTTTGAGAATGTATGTTATTATTTTCGTCACTACTTTACAATTAATTTGAAAAATGCGAAATTAACAAGGTTTTATTCGACAAATACTGCCGTCAATGCATGACTTTTTTTCTTCATTCCTGTGGAGAGAGGATTCAAGCGGATTTCTGACAATGAAAAAGTCCTCGCGAGTGTTTTACGTATCAAACGTCATCATAATTTGTTTCATATTCTCTTTTCATCCTCAAAATGATGCTATCGCCATGTTGAGCATGACGACGTTTTAACGCTCGATAAATTCAACGGAGGCGGTCTACCGCCACTTAATGACTCGGAGGTACTCATGTGAAATGAGTACTAAATCGATAATCTGGGAGATATTACCGTCTTTCACTCGTTTAGTCACATTTTGCAACGAGAATAATAAAGAATAATAAAAAATTCTATTCATCCAAAGGACGTCATCAAAAATTATAAACAATAATAACCGCAGTATTTTTTTTTTAATTTAACCTGTCTAAATTTAACATATCGCGCGGTGTGTCCTCAGAAATTACCTATAAAAAAAATCCATCGATATTTTCCCCTAGACCCCTTCATCGCCAAGATAATTGCACAACAGAATTTCCGACTTAGATCGATTAATTTTTAAATATACTAATTCGAAATTAAAAAATAGTAAAATAATTGATAATCTAAATTTCCAATTATTGATGAATTAAATATTTAATAATATGGAACTGTAAATTTTCTGTCAAGCAAATCATACAAAATTTCTTATAGGGGATTTTCGATTATCAGAATAATCGGAATAAATAAATTAACAAATTAATTAATAATAAATAAATTATTATTTTCATTTGTTATTAATAAATTTATTAATTTATAAATAATTCGGAAATTGAATATTTAAATTGACGATTACATGAATAATAACTTCAACAGCAAGTGGACCATTTAATAATTCAACTAATTAATAATAATTAGTAATTATAATCTATGGATACGGCTATCGCTGATTGGGCATTCGAAAGCCCTCGAAAAATCCACTTTTTCTGTTCTCTCTCATTACGTTTTCCCACTTCACTCCCAAATTATCGGAAACTCCCTAACACCGGTCGCCTAGCAACGAGTGCAATCGCATTTGGCGGCACTCATTGGCGATCACCAGGAGATGCCCTCGCCCGCGCACATGTCACTACAAGTTTGATGAAGTATGAAAAAAAAAATTGATCCGCGGCTATTGCAATGTCCGCTAAAAGGACCGAGCGAAAAAACCAAGTGGTGCTTTTAACTGGCGCCTGGGGGCAGGCGATTTCCACTTGGGTTCGGCAATTTGCTCGCTCAAAGGGTACAGGTGAATGTGCACACAGCAATATAGATTGCAGTCTGTGATATACTCTCGACATTTATTGAAAACCAGGTCACACAATCTAGTGAACCCTGGTTTCATTATGTATTGAATAACATTTGTACGTGTACACTTGGCCATTGGCTCGGCGAACGGAGATTATGGTATGACTGCAATCTGTGTCTGGAGCTGTTACGACTCGGCATGAATTTAACGAGGGCAGTTCCATGGGCGCTAGAGCGGTTCATAAACGTCCCTTTTCGGAATTTTTGCTAGCCCCCTAGATCATGTCTAAATAATTCTAGTCTTTTCCTTAAAAAAAAAAGCACGCTCCGGAAATTTTTCATTTTCAATTTTTCTCAGGGCATTTACATCTCTGAGGGAAGTCCTCAGTTGGCTGCTGGACAGCTATGAAAAGGGGATGGGTTTGAGCTGGAGGAGGTCAAATAATCAGATGTTCTCAATGGCATGAATGAGTTTTGGTGGAAAATTTCGGATTCAATATATTCATCGTGGTATAATTGAGTGATGAAGTGGGATTGAAGTGGTTAAATGGAGTTATTTACTGCCAACTCACCGTCTGCATGTTCTTGAGGACATCAGCAGCGACAGTCAGTGCCTGACTGAAAGCTCTCGTTGCTATAAACGATCGCTTAATCTGTACCCCCAATTTCTGGGGTACATCGCCAAATGAACGCATCTCTTTCATGTGATTGCCGACACACTCGAGATACTTGTCATCGAAGTTGTACTGACCGTTGAGTACAGTGAACATCTTCTGATAGAGGGTATTGAAGAAATTGTCCATCGCCTCATCCAAGTTCACCTGATGGGAAAATTTTAAACTTGAGGATTTTGAAACGATTCATTTTTTATCGACTCTAATTCACTAGTGAAGTGGTAAAACGAGATGAGTCTGTTCCACTCGTGTTGGACTTTAGTTCTCGCTGAATATCTCGGAATTGAAGGGAGTTACCGAAATTTTAATAAATACCTTTCTTGCAGCTCTCATTCTGCTCTACAAAAAAGGTCTTGACAAAAATTTCGCCATCTCTCTTGGATTCCGAGATACCTTCCAAAAACTGATCTATTACCAAGTGAAATTGACTGCTCCACTCTGTTTCCCCACTTCATCATTAAATTCCGAATGCCAAGCATCAATCATTACTGAATTGACCATCTGTTACTCACAGTCCCCTTGGTGTAGTAGCTCTCCAGTTCTTTGAACAAATCCGTAAATACGTAGGCATTCTGTTCATACAAAATGCCATACGTCTTCTTGAACATCTCATGGAAGCCCTTCTTCGATGTTGCCAACAACTCCTTGAAGAAACCTACAAAAAGAATAAAATTGTTCGACTCATCCACGATTTTGCGATCTTCCCCCCTAATTTATTTAAAAAATCTAATGAAAGTAATTAATTAATTTACTTAATTAAAAAGAAAAAACTAATGAGAGCCGGTAATTTCGACTTAAATACCCATATACTCTCCCCCATCACTCCCATCCCCTGAACATCACGATTACCCCCATGAATGAAAGCAGTGCAACAACCTCCACAATAGAATATTTATTTACAGGTAATTAAAATACAACTGTCATTGAAGTTCAAAGGTACATCAAGGAAACTCGAGACGCACTGGGAAAAAAAATCTCAAAGAACGTCATAACTTTGAGATCTCCCTGAAAGAGAGAGGGAGAAAAAATCACGAGAAAAAAAATGGAAAGAAAAAAAAGCGGCCTCTTCAGTGGGCGCAACCCTGTGAACCTCTGCGTAAAGCGGTGTTCAAAGACTCCACCAAAAGTAGGCTTAGATGAGTTGGTGAAAGACCTAGCGGGCTGGGTGGTGGGACGAGTAGGTGGTGCACGCTGGAATGAGAAATAAAAAAAAACGCGAGAGTCAGGGCTTCACATGTCCTCAAGAGTGGGAGGTCCCGTCTGTGAACTTGGCACCGGGGAGTACCGTGTAAAGTGGGTACGTAGGAGAGTGTACCCCAGGTACTCACCTCACCGGCGCACACACGCAATACTTCCTCTATAATCTCCCATTTTTTTTATTCCCTCGTGTTCCTATTTTAAACCACATCAAAGGAAAATTGTGAGTAGATCTCTGTAGCACGTGGAAATTAATTGAGAGAAGGAGAAAAATATATTTGAGACGTCAGAATGAGCGAATTTCGGGGCAATATTGGGATGTTTGATGGATCGTTGAGACATCGTGGGAGAATAACTTTTTTTGCGGACAAAAAATTTTTTTTGAGTCATTTATTCGTTGAAGGATTTGGTTAATTGTTTTTCTTGTCGGCTATCTCTCATAGTTTCCGAGATAATCGCGAAAAACGAAAATGCCAAAAAAATTAATTTAATTCATCTTGTATAGGGAGTAGGAAGTGGAAAAACGCTATCCTGATGTATAAAAATACAACTGCGTGAAACACACAGGCGTATCAAAATGCAACTGCGTGAAACACACAGGCGTATCAAAATGCAACTGCGTGAAACACACAGGCGTATCAAAATGCAACTGCGTGAAACACACAGGCGTATCAAAATGCAACTGCGTGAAACACACAGGCGTATCAAAATGCAACTGCGTGAAACACACAGGCGTATCAAAATGCAACTGCGTGAAACACACAGGCGTATCAAAATGCAACTGCGTGAAACACACAGGCGTATCAAAATGCAACTGCGTGAAACACACAGGCGTATCAAAATGCAACTGCGTGAAACACACAGGCGTATCAAAATGCAACTGCGTGAAACACACAGGCGTATCAAAATGCAACTGCGTGAAACACACAGGCGTATCAAAATGCAACTGCGTGAAACACACAGGCGTATCAAAATGCAACTGCGTGAAACACACAGGCGTATCAAAATGCAACTGCGTGAAACACACAGGCGTATCAAAATGCAACTGCGTGAAACACACAGGCGTATCAAAATGCAACTGCGTGAAACACACAGGCGTATCAAAATGCAACTGCGTGAAACACACAGGCGTATCAAAATGCAACTGCGTGAAACACACAGGCGTATCAAAATGCAACTGCGTGAAACACACAGGCGTATCAAAATGCAACTGCGTGAAACACACAGGCGTATCAAAATGCAACTGCGTGAAACACACAGGCGTATCAAAATGCAACTGCGTGAAACACACAGGCGTATCAAAATGCAACTGCGTGAAACACACAGGCGTATCAAAATGCAACTGCGTGAAACACACAGGCGTATCAAAATGCAACTGCGTGAAACACACAGGCGTATCAAAATGCAACTGCGTGAAACACACAGGCGTATCAAAATGCAACTGCGTGAAACACACAGGCGTATCAAAATGCAACTGCGTGAAACACACAGGCGTATCAAAATGCAACTGCGTGAAACACACAGGCGTATCAAAATGCAACTGCGTGAAACACACAGGCGTATCAAAATGCAACTGCGTGAAACACACAGGCGTATCAAAATGCAACTGCGTGAAACACACAGGCGTATCAAAATGCAACTGCGTGAAACACACAGGCGTATCAAAATGCAACTGCGTGAAACACACAGGCGTATCAAAATGCAACTGCGTGAAACACACAGGCGTATCAAAATGCAACTGCGTGAAACACACAGGCGTATCAAAATGCAACTGCGTGAAACACACAGGCGTATCAAAATGCAACTGCGTGAAACACACAGGCGTATCAAAATGCAACTGCGTGAAACACACAGGCGTATCAAAATGCAACTGCGTGAAACACACAGGCGTATCAAAATGCAACTGCGTGAAACACACAGGCGTATCAAAATGCAACTGCGTGAAACACACAGGCGTATCAAAATGCAACTGCGTGAAACACACAGGCGTATCAAAATGCAACTGCGTGAAACACACAGGCGTATCAAAATGCAACTGCGTGAAACACACAGGCGTATCAAAATGCAACTGCGTGAAACACACAGGCGTATCAAAATGCAACTGCGTGAAACACACAGGCGTATCAAAATGCAACTGCGTGAAACACACAGGCGTATCAAAATGCAACTGCGTGAAACACACAGGCGTATCAAAATGCAACTGCGTGAAACACACAGGCGTATCAAAATGCAACTGCGTGAAACACACAGGCGTATCAAAATGCAACTGCGTGAAACACACAGGCGTATCAAAATGCAACTGCGTGAAACACACAGGCGTATCAAAATGCAACTGCGTGAAACACACAGGCGTATCAAAATGCAACTGCGTGAAACACACAGGCGTATCAAAATGCAACTGCGTGAAACACACAGGCGTATCAAAATGCAACTGCGTGAAACACACAGGCGTATCAAAATGCAACTGCGTGAAACACACAGGCGTATCAAAATGCAACTGCGTGAAACACACAGGCGTATCAAAATGCAACTGCGTGAAACACACAGGCGTATCAAAATGCAACTGCGTGAAACACACAGGCGTATCAAAATGCAACTGCGTGAAACACACAGGCGTATCAAAATGCAACTGCGTGAAACACACAGGCGTATCAAAATGCAACTGCGTGAAACACACAGGCGTATCAAAATGCAACTGCGTGAAACACACAGGCGTATCAAAATGCAACTGCGTGAAACACACAGGCGTATCAAAATGCAACTGCGTGAAACACACAGGCGTATCAAAATGCAACTGCGTGAAACACACAGGCGTATCAAAATGCAACTGCGTGAAACACACAGGCGTATCAAAATGCAACTGCGTGAAACACACAGGCGTATCAAAATGCAACTGCGTGAAACACACAGGCGTATCAAAATGCAACTGCGTGAAACACACAGGCGTATCAAAATGCAACTGCGTGAAACACACAGGCGTATCAAAATGCAACTGCGTGAAACACACAGGCGTATCAAAATGCAACTGCGTGAAACACACAGGCGTATCAAAATGCAACTGCGTGAAACACACAGGCGTATCAAAATGCAACTGCGTGAAACACACAGGCGTATCAAAATGCAACTGCGTGAAACACACAGGCGTATCAAAATGCAACTGCGTGAAACACACAGGCGTATCAAAATGCAACTGCGTGAAACACACAGGCGTATCAAAATGCAACTGCGTGAAACACACAGGCGTATCAAAATGCAACTGCGTGAAACACACAGGCGTATCAAAATGCAACTGCGTGAAACACACAGGCGTATCAAAATGCAACTGCGTGAAACACACAGGCGTATCAAAATGCAACTGCGTGAAACACACAGGCGTATCAAAATGCAACTGCGTGAAACACACAGGCGTATCAAAATGCAACTGCGTGAAACACACAGGCGTATCAAAATGCAACTGCGTGAAACACACAGGCGTATCAAAATGCAACTGCGTGAAACACACAGGCGTATCAAAATGCAACTGCGTGAAACACACAGGCGTATCAAAATGCAACTGCGTGAAACACACAGGCGTATCAAAATGCAACTGCGTGAAACACACAGGCGTATCAAAATGCAACTGCGTGAAACACACAGGCGTATCAAAATGCAACTGCGTGAAACACACAGGCGTATCAAAATGCAACTGCGTGAAACACACAGGCGTATCAAAATGCAACTGCGTGAAACACACAGGCGTATCAAAATGCAACTGCGTGAAACACACAGGCGTATCAAAATGCAACTGCGTGAAACACACAGGCGTATCAAAATGCAACTGCGTGAAACACACAGGCGTATCAAAATGCAACTGCGTGAAACACACAGGCGTATCAAAATGCAACTGCGTGAAACACACAGGCGTATCAAAATGCAACTGCGTGAAACACACAGGCGTATCAAAATGCAACTGCGTGAAACACACAGGCGTATCAAAATGCAACTGCGTGAAACACACAGGCGTATCAAAATGCAACTGCGTGAAACACACAGGCGTATCAAAATGCAACTGCGTGAAACACACAGGCGTATCAAAATGCAACTGCGTGAAACACACAGGCGTATCAAAATGCAACTGCGTGAAACACACAGGCGTATCAAAATGCAACTGCGTGAAACACACAGGCGTATCAAAATGCAACTGCGTGAAACACACAGGCGTATCAAAATGCAACTGCGTGAAACACACAGGCGTATCAAAATGCAACTGCGTGAAACACACAGGCGTATCAAAATGCAACTGCGTGAAACACACAGGCGTATCAAAATGCAACTGCGTGAAACACACAGGCGTATCAAAATGCAACTGCGTGAAACACACAGGCGTATCAAAATGCAACTGCGTGAAACACACAGGCGTATCAAAATGCAACTGCGTGAAACACACAGGCGTATCAAAATGCAACTGCGTGAAACACACAGGCGTATCAAAATGCAACTGCGTGAAACACACAGGCGTATCAAAATGCAACTGCGTGAAACACACAGGCGTATCAAAATGCAACTGCGTGAAACACACAGGCGTATCAAAATGCAACTGCGTGAAACACACAGGCGTATCAAAATGCAACTGCGTGAAACACACAGGCGTATCAAAATGCAACTGCGTGAAACACACAGGCGTATCAAAATGCAACTGCGTGAAACACACAGGCGTATCAAAATGCAACTGCGTGAAACACACAGGCGTATCAAAATGCAACTGCGTGAAACACACAGGCGTATCAAAATGCAACTGCGTGAAACACACAGGCGTATCAAAATGCAACTGCGTGAAACACACAGGCGTATCAAAATGCAACTGCGTGAAACACACAGGCGTATCAAAATGCAACTGCGTGAAACACACAAACTTCACGCATGCGTGGAGTGTATGGAGTGTACGGGAGTGATTCACGCAATGGTGCGAATAGTCACGGCCAAAAAAAAATGCGGAGAGCTTCCCTCCCGAGGACGTGAGCAAGTACATTTTTACAGAGGCATGAGAAAGGAATAAAGAAAAGAGGGGCAGGAGACGGGGGTTAAAAGACGAGCCCTCGATGTACTCATATGGGAAGACTGTTTAATTAAAAAAAAGCCCACAGGGCTGGAAGGCATTCGCCCTCCAGCTCCTGGAATCTTGTTTCCACCCCCATTTGTCCCCCGCCCTCAGTCTCCTCCTCCATTTTCCTCCCTTTCATCGAAGTCCTTGCAGTGGACAGGTTCGATCGTCCCATTATCACTTTCCGGGTCTAACGAGAAAAATTCTTTTGACTGGAGTGAGAAGGGACCGCAGGTCCTCTTCCACAGGACAAAAAAGGAAATTAAAACTCGAGGGGGAATTCAGCGCTTTTTTTTTCTCACGGCTTTTCTCCTCATTTCATTTTCCTGCTTTTATGTGCACTTTCGACTTTAATTATGGGGATTAAAGGACGTATTGGCGAGGGGGGGGAGAGAGAGTTGTCAGTGAAAGGAATTCGATTTGTACTCACTGTGAAATCGTGTGCCTCTTGTTACGAGAAGTTGTTGAAGTCTCTGTAGTGTTGATCTCGTGGCTTTTTCATGTCTGTCCCGGGCACGGGCTTGAAGTCTCAGCTCCATATCAGCTGAACAGCAGACCTCTCCGCCACTACTTATGCCACCGCATGATCTCAATTCCTTGGCTGTAACGAACGAGAGAATTTACATTAACAAAGTTGTTTGACGATTTTTTTTTCAGTAAACATAACTGATTCGTTGATTAGTAGATTGAGGAGGCCTTTAAGTGGTGATAAATTACGGAGAAAGGTCACCGAATTATGGATGAGCTGAATAATTTTATAGTTAGGGCTTCCATGAGATGTTCAAGAAGACGTGTGGCATTTTGTACGAACAGAATGCCGACGTATTTACGGATTTGTTCAAAGAACTGGAGAACTACTACACCAAGGGGACTGTGAGTAACAGATGGTTAATTCAGTAATGATTGATGCTTGGCATTCGGAATTTAATGATCAAGTGGTGAAACAGGGTGGAACAGTCAATTTCACTTGGTAATAGATCAGTTTTTGGAAGGTATCTCGGAATCCAAGAGAGATGGTGAAATTTTTGTCGAAACCTTTTTTGTAGAGCAGAATGAGAGCTGCAAAAAAGGTATTCATTAAGATTTCGGTAACTCCCTTCAATTCCGAGATATTCAGCGAGAACTAAAGTCCAACACGAGTGGAACAGACTCATCTCGTTTTACCACTTCACTAGTGAATTCGAGTCGATAAAAAATGAATCGTTTCAAAATCCTCAAGTTTAAAATTTCCCGATCAGGTGAAGTTGGATGGGGCGATGGACAATTTCTTCAATACCCTCTATCAGAAGATGTTCACTGTACTCAACGGTCAGTACAACTTCGATGACAAGTATCTCGAGTGTGTCGGCAATCACATGAAAGAGATGCGTTCATTTGGCGATGTACCCCAGAAATTGGGGGTACAGATTAAGCGATCGTTTATAGCAACGAGAGCTTTCAGTCAGGCACTGACTGTCGCTGCTGATGTCCTCAAGAACATGCAGACGGTGAGTTGTCAGTAAATAACTCCATTCAACCACTTCAATTCCACTTCATCACTCAATTATACCACGATGAATGTATTGAATCCGAAATTTTCCACTAAAACTCATTCATTCCATTGAGAACATCTGATTATTTGACCTCCTCCAGCTCAAACCTTTCCCCTTTTCATAGCTGTCCAGCAGCGAACTGAGGACTTCCCTCAGAGATGTAAATGCCCTGAGAAAAATTGAAAATTGAAAGAGATGCAGGCAAAAAAAAATTACTCTATAAAATCAATGAACAAGTCCTTCCTTCTTGTTCCACGGAAATGAGTCTCGATTGCCACTCAAGAAGTTTACAATCCTCCGAGTTATTTCGCGCGAGGGTTTCCAAGGAAATTGCAAAATGTCGAAGACGGAGGCGCAGACCCCGGGGGGAATGGGGGAGTTTGAAATTAGCTTAGGCGTTGGATACCGGATATCAACAGATAGACGCAATACAGCCAATTCGAGGAGCGAAACGCCCTCCGTCTTCTGTTCGGTTGATGCCGGAAACTCTCGAAGGGGGTGGATTTGTTTTAAAAGTATGCTCCGCTGTTCGCCTCGTTGGTCGATCGTTCTCCCCCGTGAATTCATCCGACTCTTCTATCTCTCTTCAGTTTCAGAAACTCCGGAAAAATATTCCCCGGGGTGAGGGGATCTGTTTGTCCACTTGTGTTTCCCGGGTTTCTCGTGGTTGAAGTACAAAGTTCTGGATTTTTGTTCTCTCATTCTCTTGGAACAACAACAGGGGAGAGGAGCTCCAGACAATTAAAATAATATTAATGAACATCATCACTTCAAGATGAACCAATTTTTATTAATAACAAATTGATTTTTGGGAATTGAAGATCAAAATTCGTTCGACTGCTGAATTATTCAGCGACGTTGAGAAAAATTTCTCTAGAGAAATCTCGGTGAACGTCCGAATCTTCATCAAGACTGCCCCAATAATCAGAGTTGATTAACCGTGAAAATCGTGAAGATCACTGGAAATTGATTGTGTCGTGCAGCGGAGGAAATCACGAAAAACTTTTACTCAGAAAATAATCCAATTTCGATAAAGAACTTTGGTGGAAGGACGAGCTTCCTTAACTCGTTTTCCACTCACTCAAAGTTTCCTTCCTCTCCTTCTTCCTAGGCGACAGATTCGATTCTCTAAAGGCCGAGAGGAGTGCATCGGAAAGGGTATTCGAGGCAAAAGATGATGGGCTTAAAAGGAATGCTAGATAAAGAATAAAACTAAAAAATTAAGTTGACGAGTGAAACATTTTTGATGAACATTTCTAAATCTGAGGGCTATGAACTAATACGATTGTGTTCATTATTTAATTTCATCCTCCAGACGTTTTGAAACCAAAGAAATCAGTGTTTCAACTCATTCCAGGTTAAAAAAAAATTTAAAAAAAATTATTTTTCAGTCTTATAATTATTGCATTTTATTATTATTACTCGTATTATTATTATTACACGTATATATGTATTCTACTGGGTATCGCCGCCGTCCTTCTAGCGGCAAATAATATTAACTACTATTATTATATTTTACTGAAGAGAATTCAGTAGCGAAGTGGTAAAACGATTCAAGTCAATTTTGACTATTGACCATGTTTCCGCGAATATCTCGGAATCTAATGGAGATAGCAAAATTTTGTTAGAAACTTTTTTGTAGAGCCAATTGAGAGCTACAACAAATGTAATTACGAAAATTTCGCTATCTCCCTTAAATTCGGAAATATTCCTCATAAACTCAACTGGGAGATGAGTCGACTTGAACCATTTTACCACTTCGCTGAATTATTATTTCAAATAATTGATTTTGCAGTTTTGAAACGGAAGAAAAATTCTAGAGCACTGGAAAGTCATAGTTATCCCAACGCGACACATTTCCTAAAAAAAAATGCCTCAAATATTCGCGTCATTTGCCATTAAATGGGATTCCCGAAGGGTGCGGAAAATGTCGTCAATCCTTAATTCACGATTTTCAAATTGAAAAGTAAATGACGTTCATCGATTCATGCACCCCACATTTCTAGGTTATTCCATTAACTTCGCCCATCGGCCGTTTGGCGCCTGAATCACGCGATCCTCAGCATGCCCTAGCCATGTTCCTCCTTAAAGGCCAGAGTGGAATGAGAAAGGGCGCCACAACCGAGGGGTGAGAAGACATTGGGTTGCTAGGAGACACCCCACTTTCACGTGGTATATTGCATTACCGTCCTCGGTGGCAGGATTGGTCATGCAGGGCCACAATTTTTCGTCATAGTATTTTGGAAAAAAAAAAATTTCGTGCCGCCTCTCGGCTCTTCCCTCATTCGCAACAAACACTCTTTCGTTTTAGATCGGGACTTCCCCTTTTTACTTGTCCCCTTGACTCACTGAATTATTCCGGGCTATTCCCCTCCGTTCGATGTTTCAAGGGAACTATTGATTGAGTACTTGAGACCATAAGACCTGAAAAACTATTGCGGACAGGATTCCAATGAGAAAGAGAAATGAGAATTTTCCGAGCTCGTGTACCTGGAAGTAATAAAGTGCGTGTGAAATGTACCACGTGGAGAATTACGTAGATAATTGTGAGAATTGAGAATAGATTTGAGTCCATTTAAGGATTCGGCGGCATTCCATAAATTTTTCATACTAAATTTTTTTTTATAAATAAATTGATGGAATCGAATCATTTTTTATTGCAAATTTAGGTTTTGTCGAGCCCTATCGATGGAAATTAATTACAATTCCATCCGTGTATTATATTTTTGAATGTTTTAATTCTTAGAAAACGGGGTCAGATTAGGGATCACAAGGGTCAATAAGGGTTACAAGGATCAAAATAAGGGTCAATAGAGTCTGAGTAAGGGTCACGGGAGGCCGAGTAAGGGTGACGAGGGTCAGAATAAGGGTCGCGAGTCTCGAAATAAGGGCCACGAGGGTTATGAGGGTCAAACCATTAAGGATCCAACTAATGGTAACAAGGGTCAGATTAAGGACCACAAAGTTCAAATTAAGGGTCACAAGGATCAGAATAAGGGTCACGGGGATGAAAATAAGGTTCAATAGAGTCAGAGTAAGGGTCACGGGAGGGCGAATAAGGGTGACGAGGGTCAGATTAAAGGTCATAAGGGTCAGAATAAGGATCATGACTGTCATATGGTGATAGCGGAGTGGGCAGCGGGCGTAGCTCCCAAGTAAATAATAAATCTCTAAATCAAATAAAATATTTTGCAGTTCAACGTATTGATAATTTTCCTAGAAAAATGGGGGGGAAAATAGAATATGACTCCTAACGGACTACGTTGCCAGCATTTTCCCATATCGGAAGTACGTCGCGACGTGCGCCTGCAGTATATCCCATCGGCGTCTGAGTGGCGTCGCGCTGCTAACAAATAGTTCGCAATACCCCATTATCCACGTTGCTTCTGTACACATATGTACATTGGATTGCTCACGTACAGAATGCCGTACATCCACCCAGAATCGCTTCTCCCTTTTTATACCCGAGAAATGTGGGATACGAGCCTGCACTGGCAAGATGCCTCAGTATTATTTCCTTATTCCTTCCTCTTGCTCCAGCTAAAGTGCTCTCCGGTTGTGGCAATTCTGCTGATTGTTTGCGTCACAGCAGTCAGCGGATCCCTTCATGACGGAATTTATTTATTTTCGGAGGGGATTATTGGGTCACAAGAAAAGAAAAACAGAATTTTATTCAAATTAATGCAACAGTTTTCATCTCCAAAGTTGGGAAACACCTATCGCATTATGTTGCGGACTGGATCTGCCACTTTTGACTGACCTTCGGGGTTTTCGCGACAGCTGTCGAGGTCCGCCCTAAATTGCATATTAGTTATCGACGCGATTAAGCGTTAGTGTCGAATTGTCGTGATTTATTCAGTATTCAGTAGACTCGCATCGAGTGTGTGCAGTCCGCTCCAGTTATTAACGAGACTGGTTAATTATCAGCATTTAAAATTATATCAATGCATTCATTTTAATCAAATTCTGTTTTTTTTCTTGTATTCCAAGGATTGTTAAAAAAATCCGCTCTTCTTTACTGATACAGGACCATAGGTGGGTCCCTGAGTCTTTCATACTGTTGATGAAA